AAAAAAAAAAATCAAGGTGGTAGATTAACAAATGGCTATACGTCACCCCTATGTTTCTATTCATGCCCTTTACAGTGTGACTTTGCCATTCTTCCCATAAATAGGTGCAGCCTGTCTCTCAAACCGATGAATTCAGGGTTGGCCAAGTGACCTGCTTTGCCAATGGGGTATTACTAAACACAGTGCAAACAAAGGCTTGAAAAACACTTACACATCAATCGTTGCTCTTCCTTGCTGTTAGGAACTCTACCGCGGCCATGTGAAGAAACCCAAGCTGGTCTGTGAGATGGTGAGTGACATATAACCCAGGTATCTCCATCTTCCCTGACAACAGCCAGCACCAACAGCCAGACATGTGAGACCAGCCACTCTAGAAGGACCCACCCTCAGCTAAGCTGCCAAAACCATCCGGAAAACCCCAAAATTCATGAGCAGTTCCAACTTAGTTGTTGTTTTATTAAGTTTTGGGGTGGCACATTATGCAGCAAAAACTCATACATTTCGGAACACGATTTGGTGGCATATGTATGGCTAAAGAACATTCAAGAGCAAGACTGTTAACTGGGTACTGGTAAAAATATGATTAAGTTTAAAGTCAAAGTCAAAGCTAAAATAAAAATGTTTTTATTATCAATCCAATATAAAATCACTACTACAATATCTAAGTGGTAATAATGCCACCTAACTGCTCTTGCAAATCTCTATGCTGGCAAAGCAAAACAGAAGGGACAAACCAGTTCTTAAAATAAACAAACAAACAAAAAAAAACCCCAAAAAAACTGAAAAAAGATACTTCAAATCAGAAAATAATTTATATGTTTTACACGGCAAAACAACAAACTGCAATTTTTTTACATAAATGAAAAACACAACACTGGGAAACGAAGTTATAAACACAGGACACGTCATTTTGTCATTTTCAGTATTACGTTCAGAAACCGGCATGGCCTGCCCCTAGAAATAAAACCCTTTCCCCAAAAACATCAAAGTAAATCTTCATAAAGCTAACTATTAGTAGAGACAGCATAATGTTTTATTCATCTTAAAATTTAAAAATAAGAAATCTAGAAGAATCTTATTGAACTGCTGAGGCTCCAAATTCTAATGCCAGTCTCTTAAAGTATTCTGAAGTTCCTAAGTGTATATTGAGGGGAGTGATCAAAGTGAGAAAGTTTCCACAGTTCCTTTCCTGTTTTTCATTCAGATAACAATTGGCTTAAGGAGCTGGAAATGAGATACCTCCCTTTCCCACCCTGAAGCATCAATAATATGTACCATGTGTATGGAAACTTGTCACATTTATCTCCCCAACCTAACCAAAATACATGTTTTTTTCCTTTTGTAAAAAATAAACTCTCTTACAAATCAGGTCAAATTTAAGATAAGTTCCTGTGGAGTATGGACATTCAAGATTTTGATGATCTTAAGTGTTTTACTGATGACAATGTATACCAACCCATACTTTCCTATTACCCTACTTGGTGGTTCCTAGAAAATACATATCCTCACTAATAGTTTAAGATTTAAAATCCTTACAGTAAAATCCTCTCACAATATTGTTGTAGGAACAGGGAATGATGAGGTTGATGATCCTTTACTTGTATAATAACCTCACTTGTTTCTCAGAAGAATCCCATAAAATAAGTCCTATTATTGTTCCCATCATTTCATAGACAGGAGAAGTGAGGCTTAGAGAGGTTAAGCATACAACTCACTCAAAACTGGAACCCTTAACCACTGTCTCTCCTAAATAAAGTCACACTTATTCTACCTCAATATTGGGTTTTAAAACCATGTTTTTAACTGTGAGGACTTGGAACATCCAAATTTCATCAAATAATGAAATCTTCCCTTAATGTTACATACTGTATTCTGTTAATTTTTTTCTCTAAAATTAAAAAAAAAATTTTAATGTGTATTTATTTTTGAGAGAGAGAGAGAGAGAGAGAGAGAGACAGACAGAGTGCAAGCAGGGGAGGGGCAGAGAGAGGCAGACACAGAATCTGAAGCAGGCTCCAGGCTCCAAGCTGTCAGCATGGAGCCTGACACAGGGTCTGAACCCACAAACCGCGAGATCATGACCTGAGCCGAAATTGGACACTCAACTGACTGAGCCATGCAGGTGCCCCTCTCTGAATTTTTTTAATGTTTATTTTTGAGAGAAAAAGAGCACAAGTGGGGGAGGGGAAGAGAGAGAGGGAGACACAGAATCTGAAGCAGATCCAGGCTCTGAGCTATCAGCACAGAGCCTGACGTGGAGCTCGAACTCACGAACCGTGAGATCATGATCTGAGCTGCATGCAGGTGGTTTCTTAACCAACTGAGCCACCCAGGCCCCAGTTCTTTTCTCCTTTTAAAATCCTATGTTCATACAGGAGGGGAAATGAATTAACCTTTATTCACATGTCTTACATGCCAAGAACTGTGCTGAGCAAACCAATAACTTTGTTTTATTTCTTATACTCTTCCAGTGAGGTATCTTTAATTTTACAGATGAGGAAACTAAGGCTCAAGAGGTTAGTTTCCTCAAAGGCAAATGGCAAAAAGCAATGGGAGAGTTCAGATCTGTACTCTGGTTTGTACAACTGCAAAGTCCTTGGGGTTTTTTTCCTGACACCTACCAGAGTATGGAAAGCATAATACTTTGGCAAATATACATGTTATGTAACAGATGAAACACAGCATCCTTTATTACTGCATATACCACACAAATACACAAAATATTACGAATTTGCTGAAGAATTGTTAAGTCTCTAAAAAGTTTTCCTAAACAAAGTAACACTTCATCAAGATAGAAGACAAAATATTTCTGATATTTAAGTTTCTGTTCCATTTATTAATCCAAACAAATCAAATGTCATCAAAAAATAAAATATTAAGGTGACTGTATAATACTACAAAGGTTAAAATATGGACTATACTTTCCCAAGATTTACTGAGGTGTTTGCAACTCCTACCTAATTGTACCATAAAAGTAAATGAACCTCTTCTAATTGAAAATACATCTAAAACGTTTAGCTGATGATAATATAAAAAATACCACAAAACGTAAGTAGCAAAGTAATACTGTTTTCCTTTTGAGTGAGGAAGAGGTATCATCTCCAGAATAATCTCCAGGAAAGTAGGTAATAGCACCAAAGCATCTAGGTATGCTGCCAGAGTTCCAAGAAATTTCGAAGCCTTCCAACATTTTTGCTTTGAGTAGTTTTCAAGTACAAGAACCTTGCACCTCATTAATGCAATGGTTTTATGAGTAAAAGATAACCAGTTAAGGCTTTGTGAGAGTTGTAATGTTCTCTAAAATTGAAATATGATGTCATTCCCAGGATTAAATGTATGAGATTTTCCAGATAATCCTGGCTGAGCAACCAGAGAACTGTCATCATTTGCAGTCAACACTTTCATGTCACAAAGCAATTCATGATGCATTTCTGCCATATAATTTTACTTCTTTAGTTTCCTTATCAAACATCTAGAATTAAGGGAAGTTCTAACATTCCTTTTATTTTATTTTCTAAAGATTTTATTTTTAAGTAAACTCTACACCCAACATGGGTCTTGAACTCACAACCCTGAGATCAAGAGTTATATGCTCCATTAACTGAGCCAGCCAGGTGCCCCCTAACGTTCCTTTTAAAAACATTGTGAAATTTCTTTTCAGACACCACGAAGAAATTTATACAAAGTTCTGAAATTCATGTAAGTATCCAGACTCTATGACTGAACACCTGCCAGATTTAATCTCCATCACTGAATTGTATAAAACTCTGAAATTAAGATTTACCTGCTTCGTTGTTAATCGGAAACTCCCACAGTTTCCCCTCTTTGGTCCACTGGATCATCTCTTCAAAACCATTCTGAAGGGGCTGTTCATTTACCTCAGCTAACTGCTTAGCAAATTCCACATCCCAAAGTGAAGGTGCTGTCTCTGTATAATAAAAACATTTCAAATAATCACAAGTCAATGCGTATATATCTTTATTTTTACAAAAATGTTATAATCAACTCCAAATTGGTGAAACATTTCAGGTCCTGAGGGATATACATAAACAGTATATAATGGAAGGTCATTCTCTGAGAGCTCAAACTGTTCAAAAATGACATAAAAAGCCTGCAGCAACCATAATTGCAAACCTTGGCTTCTGTTTTACTACACTGCTAGGCAAGCAAGCCCTGAAGTCTCACTGCCCCCTCTACTGGAAAGGAAAAAAAAAATATGTATTTTGTTTAAGGATGTTTCCATGAATGTGAATATTTTTTATAAGACATGTGACTTTGATATTTATAGTCCAGCCTGTTTACCTTTTAGTCTGTCAAGATAAGTCACCAATATACAACTAATAAAGACCAAAGAAATTAAATTAACATAATAACAATACTACTAACGGATACAGAGCACTTACTCTGTGCTAATGCTTTTTCTACATTAGTTCATTTAATCCTCACAACCAACCCTCTAAGTAAGTTAATATCATGTTAGCTTATAACCACCATCATATCACATTTTAATCATTTTATTCGCTTTGGAAATGTAAGACACTTTTCAAGAATGAACTGCATTTCCACCAGTCACTGTTGGTGGGAGTGTAAAATGGCACAACCTCTTTGAAAAATAGTTTGGCGGTTACTTAAAAAATTAGAAAATACACTTCGCATACAACCATTTGACTCCTAGATATTTACCCAAGAGAAAACATATGTCCACACAGACTTGTATACGAAAATTCATGTACAGCCACGTCTGACTGCACACTGACTGCTAGATATTAAGTATGTTGGCCTAGAACATCTCATACAGAGAAAAGATCATAGCAGTTAGGCTTAATTAGCCACATTTCCAGAGTAATCATAACAGTAAAATAATTATCATAGTCCCATTTTATAGATTTATTCAGTGGACACTGATGAACCTATGTCTTTTCCATGATCATCAACACCATCATCATTACGTTTTTTTCTATTTAAAAATTTTTTTTAATGTTTTATTTTATATTTGAGAGAGAGAGAGAGAGAGAGGCAAAGCGTAAGCAAGGGAGGGACAGAGAGAGAGGGAGACACAGAATCCGAAGCAGGCTCCAGGCTCCAAGCTGCCAGCACAGAGCCAACGCGGGGCTTGAACTCACAAGCAGTGAGATCATGACATGAGCTGAAATCGGACACTTAACCGACTGAGCCACCAGGTGCCTCAACGCCATCATCGTTGTTGCTAATAGCTGCATCTATGTACTGAATGTCCATTGTGCTCCTGACACTTCAATTACACATTAGTTCATTTAAGCCTTGAGAGGTATGTATCAGCCCTATTTTACAGATGGAGAAAGGAAAACTCAAAGAGGTTAGTATGCCAGAATATGAATTTGAATAATCCACACCTATCAAATACTGAAACTCCTTCCATTAAGCTATCTGGCCTCTTGGCTCTAGATTACTCCAGGATAAGCAGTAGGGTCTATGACTATATCCTTTGCAGCAGTGGCAGGAACATGGAGGGAGCAAAATGCGGGAATCCTGGGATAGAAGAACTCATTCAATCAATAATTACTGAATGTAAATTATATGTCAGGCATTATTTTAGGTGATAGGGAAACAGCAGTGAATAAATGCTAAATTTAAGTCTGCATGTTGCTGCTACTGTATTTAATTGGGAACAAAAGACGTTCTTTAGACTCATGCAAGTATAACTTATTAAACAGTACCTTCATTAGAGTAAATTTTCATAAATTTGCATATTACTTTCCTTATTAAAGTACAATCATTTTATACTGTTTTATAAAATTTAAGTACTTCCTTGCCAGCTAATTTCAGTTTTAGGAACAGGATTTCTGATCAAAAAAAGCAAATTGGCTTCTTCAAGAATACAAGTGCCTCTTCTGGTTGTTCATTAGGTGGACAACAGTGACTGCCCTGACAGTAAATTCCCTTTAAAAAAGAAAAAAAATGTTTATTTATTTGAGAGACAGCAAGCTCAAACAATGCAGTTTTCACATAAGAGAAAGGAGGTTGTTCTCTTAGCTTTCTTTTCAGTTTTAAATGAACAAACACTGATTGATTAATGTAAATATCATATTAAAATTAGATAAAGTGATCTCAAATCACTTGAGTTTTCCTCTATGGATAGATATTATATAGCTCAATTTGTTCAAAAAAAAGCATTTACAATTTAACATAACTAATTCCTATGATCTGTAAGCCACTTGGTTAGGTGCTGCTGGGTATACAAAAGTCAGTGAAACCTAGGCCCCAACATCTAAAGGTTTATTGAATATTGGGAAAAATCAGATGTTTATATAAGTGATAGATTAAATGAGACACTGGAGGCTGGCCTCAGAACTTAAAAATCAATTATAAAATTATTTCTATGAAGTCCCAAAAGCTAACTTAGAATCTTTGGAAATGAAAGTCACTTGTAAGCTGAAGACAATTTGCACTGAATTTTCTCATCTATTTTAAGTTATCACTAAACCATATTTAACGTCAAGCAAGACGACGTCTCGTATCTCTTTGAATTAGACTTCAAATGATGAATTTGAAGGATTTAACTTCTTACCCAAAGAAGAAAGGGGGAAGAGTAAAGAACAAGGACTAACTATGTATTAAGAAAAAAACATGAGACTGCTAAATCGATCTCCTGAATGCTCTTCTTCCCAGCTCCGAAACAATCTCCAAATCACCTCACTAAGTCACTTCTACAAATGCTATCTCCTCTTCTGGACAGCAAGCTGCTCTAGGGCCGAAGCCACAGTTTAGCTTTTGTAATAGCACAGCTGCAGATGGTAGGTGATCATTAATGTTCTAACCCAAATCAGCAGCCAACTGACAGCTCTGGATTCAGGAAGCTGGTAGGAGTTACCTCCCGCTGTCTCATAGCATGCAACATTTCAAGGGACACATCTGACCAAGACTGGCAATGTCAACAACTACGTTCATAAGCAGGACCCAGGTCAATGACAGGATGGCTTATTAAAATACTTGACATTATGTAATCAAAACGTGAAGGACGTTGTTGAAAGATGGAATGTTTGTATACTTGAGAAACAGTGTTGTTCTTTTTTCTATGTTTATTTTTTTTTTTAGAGAGTGAGCGAGAGCACGCATGCATGGAAGAGAGAAAGGGGGAGAGAGAGAGAGAGAGAGAGAGAGAGAGAGAGAGAGAGAGAGAGTCCCAAGTAGGCTCCGTGCTGTTAGCACGGAGCTTGATGTGGTGCTTCATCCTGCAAACTGAGAAATCATGACCTAAGCCAAAACCAAGACTTGAACCCTTAACTTATTAACACTCCAGCACCCCCCAATTGTGTTGTTCTTAACAAACCTGTTTTGGGTGCCTCTTCAGTAACGGCCTTAAGGTCAAAAATATTAAGTCTCTTCCCCTTGAGTATATTTTTCCTAAGGCTGGAAAAGAAAAAACAATTTAAGTTAATATTTTTATACACTGCCAACAAAAAATTCTTTAGAAAAAGAAAATTGTATATGAAATACTCAATGTAGAAGTTTAAAAATATTCCACTGACTCACACCCAGACATTTTAACTAAATTTCTGCATCTTTAGAACTGACAACGAAAAACCGGAACAAATGCACTTGAAGTTTTGCATCATGATACAATAAAGCGGGTTAAATAGTTTAATGTCTAAAACAGCTAATTGAAAAGATTAGTTTGAATTGCCATAATTTTTACGTGATCCATTTCATATTAAGGTTTTAGAAAACTCAACATTAGACAGCTATTAAAATATGCTAAATTAAAAGTTGTTGAAGTCAATGTTTGTCTCAGTTTAAGGGCAGAAAACACTGCATGTTTAATTACAAACTATAATTATAAAAGATGGCACAGATAAATCAAAACATTCCCACTTATAAAGCAATCATTCTGTAATTTTAACATAATGATTAACTTTCTTTATATAACATTTTTAATTAACTATTGAAATTAATGTCAGAGAGTTAACAGATAACTTTTCCTTGTATATTTTAATCAACTGCTTCATGTATCACCTTACATTCATACTTACATAAATTTACTGGCAGATTAAAAGCCAGTTTAAAAAATGGACAGTTACTTTTAAAATAATTTTGAAGGGGCGCCTGGGTGGCGCAGTCGGTTAAGCATCCGACTTCAGCCAGGTCACGATCTCGCGGTCCGTGAGTTCGAGCCCCGCGTCGGGCTCTGGGCTGATGGCTCAGAGCCTGGAGCCTGTTTCCGATTCTGTGTCTCCCTCTCTCTCTGACCCTCCCCCGTTCATGCTCTGTCTCTCTCTGTCCCAAAAATAAATAAACGTTGAAAAAAAAAAATTTTTTTTAAATAAAAAATAAAAAAAAATAAAATAATTTTGAATACTTTTCTGGATCACATTACTTTTTTCTACAATATCACACTAACTGAAAAAATGCAAATACCATATTAAAATTAGATAAAGTGATCTCAAATCACTTCAGGTTTTCGCTAGCAGGTCCCCAAGTATTTTAAACAAAGGTATTTATGCTCCAGAACCATCCTCAGGGCTTGCATTCTTCTCTGCACCCAGCAGTCCCCAACTTTGCATCAGGTCAACAGGATGATGGATTAAGGTGACTCATGGTAAAGAGGGAATGATCTGGTAAAGTATGGAATTTTAGAAGGTACTAAAGGGGAAAGGAGGGGAACAAACGTTTTCATTGCATCTACTATATAGAGTCTGCACATCCCTTTCCTATTTCTCAAGAAAGCCATTTAAGTTAGCATCTCCTAGATGAGGAAACAGACCAACGAGGCTATGCAAGTTGCCGCAGTTCCGGGATTGGTCTAGCACAGTGCCAAGACTCTGAGGTATGCTAGGGCCAGTGCTCTGTGCCTCACACTTCTCTGTTCTCTTACTGAAGGAATCAGCCCAGGGCATATTAATGGTGGATTGTCTCAGGCTGTCCCAGGACAGAGCAGGGAGAACAACTTGGTGTCTTACCACTGCTTTCCCTAACTCTAGAGTCCTTCAGTCAGTTTTTTAATATAGCCATTATATGCACATAAACCCCGGTCCTACTTTTTTAGCTACTCCCTTCCCACTTTCTAATTTTTCTTTTAAGATTTTACTTAAAAAAAATTTTTTTTTAATGTTTATTTTTGGGAGAGAGAGAGAGAGAGAGAGAGAGAGAGAGCGAGCAGGGAGGGACAGAGAGAGAGGGAGAGACGCAGAATCTGAAGCAGGCTCCAGGCTCTGAGCTGTCAGCACAGAGCCCGACGTGGGGTTCAAACCCATGAACCATGAGATCATGACCTGAATCCAAGTCGGACACTTAACTGACTGAGCCACCTAGGTGCTCCTGTAAGATTTTACTTTTAAGTAATCTCTACACCCAACTCGAGGCTTGAACTCACGACCCCCAGATCAACAGTCATAAGCTCTACTGACCGAGCCAGTCATGTGCCCGCCACCTTCTAGTTTTTAATGACAGCTAATATCATTAAGAATCAAATTATGATATAGCATTCTGACATAATTGCATGGAATCATGAAATCATTTCAACAAAGAATGATTCAAACAAGACTGAAATTAAATATTCTTTTTTAAAGTAAGTTCTATACCCAACGTGGGGTTTGAACTCATGACCCCAGATCAAGAATTGCATGCTCTACTGACTGAGCCAGCCAGGCGCCCCTGAAATTAAATATTCTTGAGGAATCTTAAGTAAAACTCCAAGTTTTATCTAATATTTATCTAATATTTTATCTAATATTTATTCTATTTTATCTAATAATATGTCATAGGTATAACATCACTTTAAATTAGTAATTCAAATAATTTCCCAAAGTCATTGTAACCTCTTGAACTTCCTTTGTTAACTGCTGACCATCTTTTACAATTTTCCTGTACAAATTCATAGTTTAACTTCTGAAAAGAGCTAACTCAAGTTGCTGGAATTATAATTAAAAGAAAATCCACGGAATACATAACACATCAAAAATACTCCACTGTAGGCACCTCCTCCTACAAAGATCAGTTAGTTTTTGTCACAGCGTGCTATAAATATCTGGTTCCCTGTCCCCAACTTTCACTTTATGGGCTTGAAGGAGAGAAAGCAGAAACTTTATGTGAATACAGACAGCTTTGTATTATAAAATAATTATGTAAAACATGGCTTAGCATCTTGAAGTCTGCAAATTACCAAATTCAAATTGCCACAAATATCTGCCACTTTCAGATATTATAATGGATCTTCCTTTCTTTTTTTGATGATGGCTTATTTCTCTAAGATATGAATAATGATAATTATATAGAGAAATATAAAGGTTATATGAATATACATTGTTATGTATGAATCAGAATGAAAAATAATGCTTCTCACAAAATGTTCATTTGTTCAGCATTAAATCAGCTTCACTTATCCTAAATCAGGAGACTTCTATTCATCGTGGGTAAATGGGAGAAAGGGCCCAACTTGATTAATGGTATAGAAAAGCGTAAGACTGCTAAACCCAGAACACCTTTTCCTCTGTAAGACATGGTACACGCAGAGTGAGAAAACGGTTATAATTTCATCTATAATGCTCAAACACCTATCAGCAATAACAGGCACAGAATAAAGTAAACCTACAGAGAAATAAACAAAACCAAAGAGCCTGAATACCTTTTTTTAAGATCATTGGTCTTCTTCTGGCCCACGTAATCGTTAGATCCTTCATCAAACTGAATTTGATGCACTGGTCTTGTACTAACTCTAGCTGTGGAAGATTTGGCAATTTTCATATCTGATATTATGTTACTGACACTGAAATAAGAAAAAGGTCAGTGTATTAGAAACTTTAGCTACAGAAGAGTAAAAAACTTTCTTACACATGAGATTCATATCACTTTGTTTATACTTCACTTCTATGCAGTAATATAGCATTAAATGTTATGTTTAAATGAAAGATTTTTTTTAAGTTTATTTATTTATTGGGGGGGGGGGTGGCAGAGAGAGAGGGAGAGAGAGAATCCCAAGCAGGCTCCACACTGCCAGCGCAGAGCCCAATGTGGGGCTCGAACCCACGAACTGTGAGATCATGACCCGAGCTGAAATGAAGAGTCAGGTGCTTAACCGACTGAGCCACTCAGGCACCCCTTAAATGAAAGATTACATGTCACACACACATTATTAACATTCACACTCCACAGACCACCAAGATTTATGTTTCCTTCTGAAACCTAACTTTTGAAGGTGTTCTTCAGAAATGTGAATTTAAAACATGAATTAAAAGTGTTGTTTATTTAAAAAAAAGTGTCACTAATGAAAAAGTATCAAACATCTGAAGCTGTATATCGACTTCAAACAGGGCATCAAGTATGAGACGAGAGGATGGATGGGAAGGTGTCAGCTAAACGTAAGGATAAGAGCAAAAACTGAAGGAAACAGGCCTGAAGACGATCGCACTCTGCACACGACCAACAGATTATTTAACGGAAAAAATGAATCTTCTCAGAGAAACTGTCTTATTCTGTATTTGTTTTTAATAACACTACCGAATTTACAGTTTCTTTTTTAGGAGCAAGAAATTGTATAACTTGGCAGAAGAAAACTTTAACCATCCCACTGATCTTTTACAAACTGCAATCTTACTTCAGATCATTTTTAAAAAACCTAGTTACTAACATTCCACTTAAAAGAAATATTTTATATAAAATATAAATGTATGAATATAATTGCGTATTACTCACCACTCACATGAAAACAGCCTATTTTGAGAAACCAGCATTACTGACAGAACTATTTGATCCACTAACCTAATTTTAGCTCTTTCTCCATCCTTCTGTGCCTTTGAGACTTCCTCGTGCTGCTGGAGCTGCCTGAGCAGCTCTGACTTGGTCATCTGCTTATCGAACGGGAGAACATCTGCAACAGCAGCTGCGGCTGCTACCAACTCAGGACTCAGGGACTTGGTTCTGACAAAGAAAAGGAAACGCAAGTGAGAAAAAAAGGAGGCATTACTTACTATGCCATTTGTTTAGTGGGAAGTAAAATGATTTTTTTCCAGAGAACACTTTTCTGTCATTCAAAAAAATGTCAGGGGCACCTGGGTGGCTCAGTCGGTTAAGTGTCCGACTTCAGCTCAGGTCATAATCTCATGGTTCGTGAGTTCGAGCCCCGCGTCGGGCTCTGTGCTGACAGCTCAGAGCCTGGACCCTGCTTCGGATTCTGTGTCTCCCTCTCTCTCTCTGCCCCTCCCCCACTCGTGCTCTGTCTCTCTGCGTCTCTCTCAAAAATAAATAAGAACATTAAAAAAAATCAATTTCTGGGGCACCTGGGTGGCTCAGGCGGTTGAACGTCTGACTTCGGCTCAGGTCATGATCCCACGGTTTGTGAGTTCAAGTCCCACATCGGTCTCTGATCCTCTGCCGCCCTCTCACTCTGCCCCTACCCTGCTTGTGCGCTCTTTCTTAAAAATAAAACATTAAAAAAAATCAATTTCTAACAAAATCAAGAATTTGTAAATATTAGGTGTTAGTTTTATATAAACTTTAAAATGTTGAAAGCTGAAGTTACTGGATACTTGTTGAAGCACAAAGTAAGGAAAAGAAAAATAAAAGGGGGAGGGGGGAGGGATCAGCCTTAATTATAATTTGCTGGATTTTTATTTTATTATTATTTTTTTAAAATTTTATTTTAATGTTTTATTTATTTTTGAGACAGAGAGAGACAGAGTATGAACGGGGGAGGGGCAGAGAGAGAGGGAGACACAGAGTCTGAAGCAGACTCCAGGCTCTGAGCTGTCAGCACAGAGCCCGACGCGGGGCTCGAACCCACGGACCGTGAGATCATGACCTGAGCTGAAGTCGGACGCTCAACCGACTGACCCAACCAGGCGCCCCTATTTATTATTTTTTTAAATGTTTATTTTTGAGAGAGTGTGCACAACTGGGGAAGTGGCAGAGAGAGAAGGGGACAGAGGATCCAAAGCAGGCTTCGTGCTGACAGCAGCAAGCCCATGATAATCATGACCTGAGCTGAAGTTGGATGCTCAACCGACTGAGCCACCCACGTGCCCCAATTTATGGATTTTTAAATGAGACGCCAATGTATTTCAGAAACTATACTGCAAGAAAATATTAATGTAGCTAAACCTATTCGCACATCATGATAAGTTCATATGATGGAATAGTTCAACTCACACCTACCACGTGAATGAAACAATGAAAAGTTACATTAAAAAAAAAAGAGTATGCATTGTACGATTCCATTTACACCAAGTTCTAGAATATGCAAAATTAACCTAAGGTGAAAAAAGTCAGAGTAGTGGTTGTCTCAGGACAGAAGTCTACTGACGGAAAGACAGAAATGAGAAATGCTCTGCATCTGATAAGCACATGGGCATATGCATTTGCCAGAATCCTACAGCTAAGATGTGTACACTTCAAAGTATGTAAACTTTACCTGAAAAAAAACCCAAAAACAAAGCCCAGAAATCATCGTTATCATCTAGCAGGAGACGCAAAGTAGGTGAACACACAGATGACACAAGAATGGCAAAATGATTACTGAAGCTGCGTAACAGGTAGGTACACTTTGTGTATGTCGTGTAGTTTAGGTACAAGTTTATTACATTTTGTTTCAAGTTTTCCGTAAGAAAACGCTAAAAAAACCGAAAATGCTACTCTTTAGTAAATTAGGGTAAATTAATAGAAAACTGTGCTAGACATAAAAGGAAATTGTCTACATTATTTACATATTAACTAAGAATTGCCATCTCAATGAGTGGGATTCAAGTTAACGTTTTACTATACTTGACTTTCTATATAAAGATCTGCTGTCTAATATGCAAATCAAAGTTCCCAAATCCCTGAGGTTGTTGGATAAAGATTTAAGGACTTCGCCTACCAAGATAGGAGAGATCTAGAATCTGACGGCCAAGGAAGAAAAATAGAATAAAAGAGGGACTATTACAATTAGTCAAAAATGAGCTACTTTCAAAACTGTTGCCAGTGAATAAGGTTTGAACTTCACTCCAAATCATTTTTTCTATTTTTATTTATTTTTTAAAGCTTATTTATTTTGAGAGCAAGAGAGTGCGAGTGGGGGAGCAGCGGGGGCGGGGGGGGAGAGAGAGAGAGAGAATGAATCCCAAGCTCGATGCGGGGCTTGATTTCACAACCATGAGATCATGACCTGAGACAAAATCAAGAGTTGGACACTTAACCGACCGAGCCACCCAGGTGCCCCTCTACACAGATTTTAAAAAGGTAATGAGACCTTGTTAAAATGTCTCTTAAAAATCTATTCTATCCTATAACTCAGACTATTTCATGAAAACATACTTTATACCCTTCTGTACTCCCTAAATTTCTTTAATATGAACTATACAGCATACACAATTTCAGAAAAGAAATTCTAATAAGGGGAAGGATACTACTGAGTGGACACAAATCACCGTAACTTTTGGCAATTTGATGACATACATTAAAAGTCTAAAATACACCCCAATCCTTTTACCCACCAGTTCCACTTCCAGGAGTATTTGTCTAAAGAAAATAAGCAGGTACACATAGAATTGGAGGGATCCTGCACACTCCAAATGCAAGGTCCAAGCAGTTCCAGCCCCTGTGCCTGACAGGCAAAGCATTTCTCAGATATCTGCATTGCTTTATCTATAACTTTATTTCAGGTCTTTGCTCAATCATTATTCTTCCATGATCCCTTCTTTAAAAATAGCACCTCTCTAACCGATCACTCTTATTTTTCCTCATGTTTCATCACCTAATGTACTATGTGTCTGTGTGTGGCGTAAAAACATCCTCTTCCACCCCCTGACTCTTCCCCCATTTGTAAGGAATAGAGACTTGTTTTGTTCAGTGTTCTACCTCCATCCCTTTGGACAGTGCCTGAGCTCTAATGGCAATCTAAAGTTGCTGAATGAATGAATGATGTTAATCATAGCATTATTTTGTACTAATGGAAAACTAGAAATAATCTAAATTTCTACTAGTGGATTCATTAATTAATAAGTAGCTGAATCCTTCTTACTGGTAGTTGCTTGGTTGAGAGACAGTTACAGTAGGACCTAGAAACTGTGGTCACTGCTGTTCTCCCCAGGGTTCTTACTAGTTCCACAACACATTCAGACTCAGGAGACCTTGGCCTTGCATCGGCTCTCACTAGCGCCAAGTGGGGCGGACACAGCTACCTCTGCCTACGCTGCAGAGATGCTGCAGCCAAGCTTTGGGATGGTTTGTTATGCAGCAACACTTAACTGGAACACATTTTGGTGCCTGGAGGTTGGGTGCTACTGTAACAAAAAACCTAAAATGTATGGAGGAGGTTTGGGTATTGGGCAGTGGGTAGAAACTGGAAAGACCTTGAGGCAAGTATTGATGAGAACTTAGGGCCTCAAAGAGACTTAGAGCTTGAAGGCTCTCAAAGCCACTGTGAGGGAGAGCTTTAGGAAAATCAACATTACTGGAAGCTACAGAAAAGGGGACTTCTGTTCAGCCGCATTGTTGCTTCTAGTAAGGTGGGAAACAGGAAACACACTCAATGAACTGGATGAGCCAGTCTAAGGAGACTTCCAGTGTTGAACCTTAGTTGCAGATGGTAAAATGTGAGAAGAGATAAGAAAGAACCGTTCCATATAAAGGAGCCAAGACTTGCAGGTATCCAAAAGAAAACATTTCTCATTCTCAGCCCCTCCAGACAGCAAACAATGCTAAAATTTAAAATGGTTTCTGAACAGGGGTGCCTGGGTGGCTCAGTTGGTTGAGCGTCTGACTCAATTTCAGCTCCGGTCATGAGATGGAGTGCCGTGCTAGGCTACGTACGTATGTAGAGCCTGCTTAAGAGTCTCTCTCCCTCTGCCCCTCCCTCACTGGCTCAAGCTCCTGCACTCTTTCTCTCTGAAAAAAAGAAATGGTTTCTGAACAGAAATCAAATTCAGTGCAGTGTCAGGGAAACTATAGGCATGACTGCAAAACCCTCTGTTAAGATCTTAGAAAGATTATTTTTTTGAAGATTTTATTTTTAAGTAACCTCTACACCCAACCTGGGGCTTGAGCTCACAACCCCAAGATCAAGAGTTTCATGCTCCACCGAATGAGTCGGCCAGGCACCCCAAGATTTAAAATGCTGCCTCAGAGAGTCTTTCAAACAAACAGGAATTCTAAGAAACTTATGGGTTTGGTCCCACAGCCTTGCACAGGGAGCTCAATGTAGAATATGATCTTGGTTCCCAAACTATGCCCTAAGGAACCCTGGAGCACTACAAGGAAATACAGCAATCTGTCAGTGACTGAACTACTAAGGCAAGGTAGTCATGGTTTTAACAGTAGACTACCGCATGCCTTTTGTTGACATCATCTTTGTGAAGATGGGTTTTCTGGCAGTTGCTATGATAAAAAGCGAGTACCCCTCAAAAGTCAATATGAAACAGGAAATGAGAGTGGCAGTGTCCAATCTGAGTCCAAGGCTACATCATAAAAACAATACAAATTCCTCCCGGCTCCCTTTCTCTTGGGACACTCGCCCTAGGAACCCAGCCGCCATGCAGTGAGGAAGCCCAGGCCACACAGAGAGGCCACAGGTAGGTGTTTCTGGTAACAGTCCTGGCTAAGGTCTCAGCTAACAGCCAGCTTCAACTGTCAGAGCAATGAATGAGCAAACCTTCAGATGATTCCAGCCTCTGGACTTGCAAGTCTTCTGAGTAAGGACAGCACGGAACAGAGATTACCCTCTCCACTGTGCTCTGCCCACACTGCTGACCCACAGAATCCATGAGCATAAAAAAATGGTTGTTTTATGCCACTAAATTTTGGGGCAACTGTTATGCAGCCACACTAACTATATCAATGGGGGTTCAGTATATAATACAAATAAAAAAACTAAAAAACAGGCCATGCATAGAGCAATGACAGTCATCATGAATCAAAGATGATTTACTCAATTCTGTGCATCTGGGATCCCTTAAAAAAAAAAAAAAAAAGAGTGGGGAACAAAATCATTAAAAGATACATTAAAAATTTTTTATTAAGTAAACTCTATATCCAATGTGGGGCTTGAACTCATGACTCTGAGATCAAGAGTCACATGCTCTACCAACTGGGCCAGCCAGGCACCCTAAAAGATTCATTTTTAAAAACTCAAAACAAATAGGTCTCATTCACCAATCTTTTGATGTAGGACCAAACCCTCTCTGAATAGAAGTTCCAACATAGATCTTTTATATATACACTGCACCCATAGTACATCCTCCAAGAGTTCCAATTCTGGTTTCTTTAAAGCAGAAACATGCAGCAAGAACTTAAAAATGCTTACAAAGCAGTCTGAATGCAGAATTTTCTTGCATTTTTCTGAATGCCTCATTCATACCTAATTGGAAAGGAATTTTTAAAATTTCCTTTCCTGAGTCTTTGCAAAACATTCAGCTCATTTTAACCATTTCTATAACAGATAATTAAATTGTATAATTATAAAAAAAGCACAATGGGTCACAAACAGGTCTGCAAGCTTAAAAAAAACTCTTGGTAAGTATTTTTATACATGTGTGTCTGTATTATCTAATTCTGTGTACTTAAAAAAAAATTGGGGGGTGGGGGAGGGGCACCTGGGTGGCTCAGTTAACCATCTGACTTTGGCTCAGGTCCTGATTTCACAGTTTGAGTTCAAGCCCTGTGTCAGGCTCTGTGCCGACAGCTCAGAGCCTGGAGCCTGCTTCAGATTCTGTGTCTCCCCCACTCTCTACCCCTCCCCTGCTCGCACCCTGTCTCTGTCTCTCTCTCAAAAATAAACATTAAACAAAATTTAATAACAAAAAAAATTTTTTTAATTTTTATTTGAGAAGGAGAGTGCACGTGCAGGGCAGAGGAGTGGAGCGAGAGGGAGCAGTGGGGGGAAGAGGGGAAGAGAGATAGAAAGGGAGAGAGGGAGAGAGGGAGAGAGGGAGAGAGAGAGAGAATGTATCTTAAGCAGCCTCCAAGCTCAGCACAGAGCCCAATGTGGAGCTCAATTCCATGACCCTGGGATCCTGACCTGAGCCGAAATCAAGAGTTGGATGCTCAACCAACTGAGTCACCCAGGTGCCCCTAATTCCATATACTTTTATGTAGTATTTTTGCTTTATTTTGTTTCTAAAAGGGAGGGAGAAGATGGGGTACCTGGCTGGCTCGGTAGAGCATCTGACTCTTGACCTCAGGGTTATGGGTTCAAGTCCCATGTTAGGTGTAGAGATTACTTAAAAAAAGTAAAGAGAAGGAGGTAGCTTTGATGGCCACTCATTTTTTGAACTAGCTTTTTTCCTACCACCCAATTATGCTTTCCAGAGGTAGTTTTGATACAATATGATACAGTATAGAGACAAGAAGTTTCATGAAAATATTAAGTCGTTCTGGAAGATAGGAATCTACATTATCTGTTGATTCTGCTAAGAGAAGTCAGAGATGGGGATCTTCAAGCCACATACCTTATTACTTGATGGATGTAAGAAACACCATTATTTATCTATCATTAAAACAAAACACTGTCGGGGCGCCTGGGTGGCGCAGTCAGTTAAGCGTCCGGCTTCAGCCAGGTCACGATCTCGCGGTCCGTGAGTTCGAGCCCCGCGTCAGGCTCTGGGCTGATGGCTCAGAGCCTGGAGCCTGTTTCCGATTCTATGTCTCCCTCTCTCTGCCCCTCCCCTGTTCATGCTCTGTCTCTCTCTGTCCCAAAAATAAATAAACGTTGAAAAAAAAAAATTAAAAAAAACAAAAAACAAAAAAAAACAAAAAAAAAACACTGTCACTGAAACCACAACACAATGCTAAGATATTACTGATTGCACTTAGAATCAATGAAGTATAATACTCTTTTGACAAGCACAAATAATTACATGTTAAGGAAATCATGTAAGTAGAGAACACTGATAATTACTGGTCAAAGGAAATCATATACAACAGTTGTAATCAACATGCTTACATTCTATCCTAGGTGGAATTTTTTAAATGGAAATTTCAAAGAAACAAGTCCTTCAGAGACACGAAGCTACTTCCAAATCAGGAGATAAACAATTTGGTAATTAACAGTTTAAAGAGGCAATTAAGTGACAGTTAATAACACTGATGAATATGTAAAAGAATATGTGGAATTCTCAATTAGATCTCTACTTTTTCCTCTCTAGATTGTATGCACATGTTCCCTTCCTATTTAAATACAGAAGGGTAATAGTATCTTTCAAGTAAGTATTAAAGTCTCCGTGTTTACAAACTGATAATCTTCATGCAGTATCTCCCAGATCCTCTAATTTAAAATTCCTTTCTAAAAGAAAAAGGAGTTTCAAAAAGTACTTTCAACACAGTTGAAATTCCATTCAATTTACCTCTTTTTTGGGGCATCTTCCGGAACTTTGTGAAGCCTGCCAGTTGTAGCCTCTATACTCTTAAGTTGTCTTCTATTGGGTGGCCTTGTTGTTTGTACTTTGGCTGTGCTTAATTCAACTCGCATGCCCTTAATAATACCTAACAAGTCTTTTTTTGTGTTCTCCTTCACACTCTCTTGGGTCTCCGTTTCCTTGGAAATATCACGTGTTGGAGCAGACTGCTCATCTTTCTTGTTACAGATCACGTTGTTCGTGCCAAAATATCGGTGGACCTCATTTTTTGTCCTAGAAAGATGTGTTAAAGAAAAAAATGAAAAATACAATGCAAAATAATAAAGTGACTCAAAAGCACTGCTTCTGTTTTAAAATTTTTCCAATTCGAGGGGCGCCTGGGTGGCGCAGTCGGTTAAGCATCCGACTTCAGCCAGGTCACGATCTCGCGGTCCGTGAGTTCAAGCCCCGCGTCAGGCTCTGGGCTGATGGCTCAGAGCCTGGAGCCTGTTTCCAATTCTGTGTCTCCCTCTCTCTCTGCCCCTCCCCCATTCATGCTCTGTCTCTCTCTGTCCCAAAAATAAATAAATGTTGAAAAAAAATTAAAAAAAAAATTTTCCAACTCGAACCCTTCCCTTTTGCTTTTTATTATTGTCAGCAACCATAATGAAGCAATTTTAACATTTATTGAATACAGAATATGTGCCTAGTCTGGTGCAACATATTTTATGTGCATTTTCTCATACCCACATCAACTCCATAAGGCAAGTATTATCCCCATTCTGCAGATAAGGAAACTGGAAACCAGAGAAGTGAAGCGATTTACCCAAGGTCATGTAGCTTAAAGCTCACTAAGACCTAAGACATGCTGGTGAGTCACAAATGGGTACAGATGTGCTGAGATACTGATTGATCACCTTGTCCTTGGGGTAGCTGAGGGAGGCCCGGGCTGCTGGTGCACCTAACTGTTGCCTCCCTCCATTTACCTCAGGGTTTGATACAAAGATCATTTTCTATTTGTTCCATGACATTAAAAAAGGTCGCAACTTTCTGATCCGCTCTTGGCAGCGGAACGACTGCCGAGCTGCAGATTTTTGTGAAAACCCTTATGGGGAAGACCATCACTCTCCAGGCTGATCCCTCAAAAAGAAGACAAAACGGAAAGGCCAAGATCCAGGATAAGGGAGGAATTCCTCTTGATCAGTGGAGACCGATCTCCACTGGCGGGCAACTGGAAGATGGATATACCGGGCCTGTCACAACATTCAAAAGGAGTCTACCCTTGATCTTGTGTTAAGACTTCATGGCGGTGTTAAGAAAAGGAAGAAGTCTTATACCACTCCCAGAAGAATAAGCATAAGAGAAAGAAGGTTAAGGCAGCTGTCCTGAAATACTATTAAGTGGACGAAAATGGCAAATCAGTTGCCTTTGTCAGGAATGCCCTTCAGATGAATGTGGTGCTGGAGTTTTTATGGCTAGCCACTTTGACAGATATTGTGACATATGCTGTCTGACCTATTGCTTCAACAAATCAAAAACAAGTAATTGTTTACAGGTTAACAAAAGACAGGAACTAACATTTAAAAAAAAAGGTTGCAAAACACTGACAGGGTTAGTAAATTTCCATTTATTATTTTCAAACCCCAAACTGACTGACTGCCATGTCCTTAACATGATATAATAATACCTCTTTGAAAGCTATAAACATTTCTATTAACAAAGAAAGGTTACTTTCTTTAAAAAACATGTCTGGATAGGGGCTCCTGGGTGGAGCCCCTGGTTAAGCAGTCCACCTCTGGATTTCAGCTGAGGTTGTGATCTCCCCTGCATTGGGCTCCACAATGCAGAAGTGTGCTTGGGATTCTCTCGTTCCCTGTCTGCACCCCTCCCCCTCTCCACTCCCCTCCCACATGTGTGTTCTCTCTCTCTCTCTCTCAAGAATAAATAATTGTTTAAAAATAAAATAAAAAAATAAAAGGGGCGCCTGGGTGGCTCAGTCAACTAAGTGGCCGAGTATTGATTTTGGCTCAGGTCATGATCTCATGGTTGTTGAGTTCGAGCCCCATGTCAGGCTCCACGCTGCAGTGTGAAGCCTACTTGGGATTCTCTCTCTGTCCCTCCCATTTTCTCTCTGTCTCTCAATATAAGTAAAATAAACTTAAAAGATTAAAAAAACAAAAGCCATGTCTGGGTATTATTCTAATCTGATTAACTTTCTCCCTGAGCTACGTGTCATTTAACCAATCACCATTTGTAAACTAAGCTAAAATGGAACAAAAAAAGGATATTCAGTGGCTACTTTCTGCTTTGTTCATTAGATACATTTGTGAAAAAGAACAACACAAATGATTACATCGATTTCAAATTCATGCAAAAGATTTGCCGAATCTAAGTAACCCAAATAGCTAATTTTATTTTGTGATGTTAAAAACCTTTTGATACTTGATACTGAAGAACTTTAAAAACTAATCAGTGTGTTAGATTAAGAGAGTATAACGTATGAAAAGTCATTCATTAAACACAATGAGCATCTACTTTGTGTCAAGCGCTACCCTACACACTGGTGATACATTAGTAAATAAGAATTTCATGGTCGCTATCTTTATGAAGATAACAGGTTAGAACACTGTTTCTCAAACTTCAATATGCTTAAGAGTTACCTAAGTGACTTTTAAAAAACAGGTTCTGTGGTCCAACCAAGGAATCGATTCAGTAGCTTTGAAGAGGGACTCAGAGTTTGCATTTCTAACAAGTTTCAAGTAATGCTGATGCTGCCCATCAGAGGACCACATTGGAGGAGCTATGCTACGTATGTCATTTAATCCTTACAATCTTATAGGACCGGTTTTACTATTTGTATTATAGAAGAAGAAACTGTATTATAGAAGAAGAAACTTAACATTCAAAGATGTTAAATCAGTGGCTCTTAACCTTTAGGGATCATATGAATTACATAGGGAGCTTATTTAAAACATATTCCTGGGGCGCCTGGGTGGCGGAGTCGGTTAAGCGTCCGACTTCAGCCAGGTCACGATCTCGCGGTCCGGGAGTTCGAGCCCCGCGTCGGGCTCTGGGCTGATGGCTCAGAGCCTGGAGCCTGTTTCCGATTCTGTGTCTCCCTCTCTCTCTGCCCCTCCCCCATTCATGCTCTGTCTCTCTCTGTCCCAAAAATGAATAAACGTTGAAAAAAAAAAATTTTAAAACATATTCCTGAGATTCTTAGTTGCTAAGTTTGGAATGGGGCCCAAGGACATGCCTGCATTTAACCAAGATGCCAGGTGATTCTGATATAACTCATCTCAAGACCCTACATCAGACCCTGGGTTACTTATTATACCAAGTTCTCAAAGCTAGCAAACGTGAGTACCAGGCTAGGGACCTTTTAATGAAAGACAAAATGGCTATTTCCAAAAATGCGGAACCAAATTATCTGATCTGCTTATAAAAATTTCAGAGGTGGGGCGCCTGGCTGGCTCAGCTGGTGAAGCATGCAACTCTTGATCTCAGAGTCGTGAGTTCAAGCCCCACGTTGGTCACAAAGCCTCTTTTATATGTGTGTGTGTGTATACAGACACACACACACACACACACACACAAATACATGCATGTATGCCAGAGGCTCAGGTGTGTGGGTGGCTCAGTCAGTTAAACGTCCAACTCTTGACTTTGGCTTAGGTCATGATCTCAGGAGTTCATGAGATCAAGCCCCATGTCAGCTCAGCACTGACAGCACAGAGCCTGCTTGGGATTCTCTCTCTCCCTCTCTCTCTCTGCCCCTTTCCCGCTCCCATGAGTGCTCTCTCTCAAAATAAATAAATTTTTAAAAAAATGACAGAGGCTATCAAATCAGGCACTTAACTAGAATGCAAAACCAGGCACATAACTAGCATCCTCATAATCAGTACACAGGACCTTCATCATAATATCATTCACCATGTGGTACAATTCAATTTAGGAAAATGCTCTATTATTTTGTATGTACAAGTTAAATTAACATTAAAGGTGTTATAACAGAAAGGTGTCAATCAGGAGAATGAATCTCATTAAGTTTTCATAATGATGAGAGTTCTCAGAGAAGAAATACCAACATAAAGTATGCATAACTACCCTTTGTTGCCTGGCTAGCTCCAACCCTTAGTTCCCCTCCACAGTTTATCAGATTTCTTTTCCAGAAAGGATACTCTGAACCTTTCTTTCCTACAATGGTTAGCTGTCCCGACTTGCTCACCCAGCGGTTACTTGTATTAATAAAGCAGTCTGTGTTACCTACACCATCTCAGCTTTACTCCACTGTACTTGAATTGCCTGCCTGGTGGAACCATAAGCTCCGTGATGGCAGGATCGTTTTTTATTAGGGACTTAACAGCAGTATTGGTACATTGTAAGTACTTTCAATAATGAACCAGAGGATAAATGGAGGCTGGAATGAGACCACTATACTCTTGGCAAGTAATAAAATAAAATAAAATAAAATAAAATAAAATAAAATAAAATAAAATAAGGCAACTTTACTTCTGGAGGCTGGATTGAATGAGGGGAGAAGTGGCAAGAAGTACGAGGCGCGGTACGTAGTAGAGAGCACAGGACAGACCATGCACGTATCCGTAGCTCTGTTTCTCACTCACATATGACCTTGGGCAAGTCATTTTACCTTTCTGGGATTTCCCTTTCCTCAGATGTAAAGCAACGGCTTTTAGGACCTCGCGGGTAGTAACATCGACCCCAGGAGAAAGGTCACTGAATACACCGGCGGGAGGCCAGGGGTTGCCTGAAGACCTGCGGGGCCCACAGCGCCGAAATGCGGTACCTGACCGTTCCGTGCGGAGCACCGAGTCGCACAATCGCAGCCGCCGGTGCCTCTGAGCCTCCAGGGCATAAAGGGAAGGGGGAGAGGAGGCGAAGAGGTATGATCGCGGAGACTCTTGGAAACATCGCCAAGAAGCAAACACAATCGCACACACAACAGAGTGGCGGGTCCCTCTGCTAAACACATCCCTCGCCCTCTCTTCCGTTCCCCAGCCTGGCGCGTTCCTTCTCTTCCGGTTCCGGTGGGCAACAGGGGCGGGTAACTGCGTTCCGGACTCGCCCGCGGGCGGCCACGTTGCGTGCGCTGCTTCCAGGCGATTCTAGTCGAGGAGGTAAAATCGATGCCTGAGTTCAGCTAAGATACGCTGGTTGAGGCAGGACCCAGATGGTGGAGGGAGGATGTGGAGGGGGGGAGTTACTGTGCAAATGCTACTTTGGGGGCCAGTAAAAGGAGGCGGAGAACTGACCTTACTGGGCGGTTTTGGGGGGAGAGGATCCACAGCGTTCATCACATCCTCTAGATGATCTGTAGCCACCAAGGTTAAAAAAAAAATTACCATAGGACACGCTGCCCGATAAATTAGTATTTCTTTTCAGGCACTGTTCTTGATGTAGAGTCAAGACATGTGAGACATACATGTTTCGTCTTTTCAAAAATGGTTTTACGTATAGAAATCTGCAAGAGAAAGGCTTGACTTTTTCCTGCCCTTCGTGAAGGCAGTGAACAGTGGATGAGCGGTGATCAAACTTGGAAGTGCGTGAGCATAAACCCTCTGGGAAGATGCCAGCTAATAGGTCACATGGGAACTTCTGGCTTAATGTTTAAGTTTATTTATCATTTTTTTCAATTAAAAAATTTTTAACGTTTATATTTGAGAGAGAGAGACAGAGCATAAGCGGGGGAGGGGAGAGAGAGAGGGAGACACAGAATCTGAAGCAGGCTCCAGGTTCTGAGCTGTCAGCACAGAGCCAGATGCGGGGCTCCAGCTGTGAGATTGTGACTTAAGCCGAAGTTGGAGGCTTAACCGACTGAGCCACCCAGGTGCCCATATTTTTTTAATTAAACATTTTTTATTTTATTTTATTTTATTTTTGAGAGGGAGGATCAGAGAGAGAATCTTAAGGAGGCTCTGCACCGTCAACGCAGACCCCCAACCAGGGTCTTAAATTCACAAGCCCCGTGAGATCATGACCTGAGCTGAAACCAAGAGTCAGTGGCTCAACTGGCTGAACCATCCAGGTGCCCCTATTTATTTATGTTGAGAAAGATAGAGAGCAAGCTTGTGCACACACTCGAGAGGCAGAGAGAGAGAGAGACAGACAGACAGACAGGGAGAATCCCAAGCAGGCTCTGTGCTGCCAGTGCTATGGGTGCTGAGCCCAACTCAGAGCTGGAACCCAGAAACCTGTGAGATCATGACCTGAGCTGAAATTAAGAATCAGATGCTTAACCAGTTGGGCCACCCAGGAACCTCTAGCTTATAGTTACACGTGGGCAGTTGAATGCTGACATTAACTTTTCCCCCACAACTTCAAAAAAGAATCAAGCTTGGTGGCAAATTTTTTTGTAATCTGAAATACAGAAGAGTGCACAAGTCATAAACATGTTGAGGAAAATGTGCTTAATGAATTATCTCAGAATGAATTTGCCCATGTGAACCACCACCCAGATCAAGACATAGAATATTACCAAGAGAGTATACTTAATTTGATATCACTTGATATCTGGTTGAAAATCCATTCATGAGTGTAATAGTCCATTAAAATCACATTAAACTTTTTTTAAATGTTTATTTATTTTTGAGAGGCGGGGGAGGGGCAGAAAGAGGGAGACACGGAATCCAAAGCAGGCTTCAGGCTCTGAGCTGTCAGCACAGAGTCTGATTCGGGGCTCCAACTCACGAATCGCGAGATCATGGCCTAAGCCGAAGTTGGGCGTTTAACCGACTGAGCCACCCAGGGACCCCCAAATCACATTTAATAGTTACTTCATCCTTTTTCCAATTTCTTATAATAACCCTAACTTTTTTTTTTTCTTTTAAGGTTGACAAAGGGGACTGAAACCGCCATCTCAGATTCACAGCTTCTCTGGAGGTATATCCTGTCCCAATTATCCTGATCCTAGTCAACTCTACTGCACTATCCATCCTGTACATTCCTTAACCTCTTTCATTGGGGCAGATAGGCTGTGACCTATATGAGAGTACCGGGCTGAAGGTCACAAGCAGGGATTGAAATTCAGCCTTGCTCAACTCTCTGACTCCTTCAACTGTCACTTTCCAAAAGAGGCTTTCTTTGACTTCTGTAGCCTCCTGTGCCATCCAGTCACACTCTCTGGCAGGGATTTCTGCTGTCTACCAGTCCCCGTTTGCTTCTTCCTCTGGAGCTTTAGCTCAACACATGGCCACAGAAGAGACTACATTTCCCAGACTCCCTTGCAGGCAGGTATGTCTGCATCTAATCAATAGAATGTGAATAGAGGTGATGTGCCCTTGAAAATGGGCACAAATTCCCCACAACCTTTTTCTCCTTCCTCCTAGTTGGAATATAGGCCAGATGAAAGGAGCTGAAGCAGCTAGGGGATGGAGAGATGAAGGATTTCGGAGATGAGGATGACAACCATCCTACCTCTGTCCTTACCCACCTCCTCCAGACAGTCACAAACAAAGGGGAGGGAGGAACCACTTCCATGTTATTTAAATGTATTTTTGAGTTTCTTTGTGGCAAGTAGTCTAGATTGTACCTTATCTAAGATACCCTCTATGTCAAAACCTTGTTTCATTTTCTACAGAGTATCACTAAGTGAAATTTATCCCATATTTATATGCTTAAATGCTTATTATCTCACTCTGACAGAATGTGTTCCATGAAGGAATGGACTTTGTCTTATTCACTGCTGCAACCCCAGTTCCTAGAACCATCCTGTCATATAATAGATGCTCATATTCGGTGAATAAATAATTTCCAAGTGCAAAGGGGAAAAAAATGGTGCAGAGAGTTTGAGTAATTTGCCCAACTTTCTGCAGCTAGTCAATGGCAGAGCTGGATTCAAATTCAGAGCCAATTAACTCTGATATTCTTGTTCATTTTGGAATACTTGACAGTTTAGGATTTTACTCATGCATAAAAGTCACGTGGAGGCACTTACTGATATACATTACTGAGTAGCTCAGAAGATCTGAATCTGAGATTCAGCACCCCAGGTGATTCTGGTGCTGGTCTTCAGACAAAACTTTGAGATATGCTACAATGACCCTATGGCATATTTAGCTGTTCATAGCTCTGTATACACTTAAAATGCACATAAAGAAAAAGTGTTGTAATTGGTGCAGCATTAAAGCAACAGCCAGATTATTACTTTGCAGGAACATCAGAGTCATTATGCTATGTGAACAGAGTGAGATCAAAGAGACCGCACTATATGATTCCACTTATATAACAATGTGAAGAAGACAAAGCTCTAGGGACAGAAATCAGATCAAAAGTTACCAGGAGTTGCAGCCACTCTGGAGAACAGGATGGAGGTTTCTCAAAAAACCAAAAATAGAACTGCCCTATGATCCAGCAATTGTGCTATTAGGTATTTACTCAAAGGATACAAAAATACAGATTCGAAGGGGTGCGTGCACCCCACTGTTGATAGCAGTATCAGCAGTAGCCCATCTATGTAGAGAGCCCAAATATCCATCGACTGATGAATAGATAAAGAAGATGCAGTGTGTACAATGATATATTACTCAGCTATCGAAAAGAATGAAATTGTGTCATTTGCAACGATGTGGATGGAGCTAGAATGTATTATGCTAAGCGAAATAAGTCAATCAGAGAAAGACAAATGCGGTGTGATTTCACTCCTGTGTGGAATTTAAGAAAGAAAAAGAGAAGAGAGAGAAACAAACCACAAGAGACTCTTAACAGTAGAGAACAAATTAAGGGTTGATGGAGAGAAGTGGTTGGGGGATGGGCTAGATGGGTGATGGGTACTGAGGAAGGCATTTGTGATGAGCACTAAGTGTTGTATGTAAGTGGTGAATCACTGAATTCTACTCCTGAAACCAATATTGCACTGTATGTCAACTAAAATTTAAATCACAAAGAAAAAAATAAAGTAACAATGGTAAAAAAAAACACATTACCTCGAGGTGGAGCTGGAAGGAGATGACTGAGTATGACAGAATATGACGGAACCTTTTGAACTTATTGAAATATTATATATCTTGACTCTGGTGGAGGTTGTAGCTTTTCACAGTTACCAAAACTTAAAAACTTGTACACCTAAAATGTGTGAATTTTGCTGTATATAAATGATACCTCAACAAACCTGACTTTAACAAAAAAGGTAATTAAAGCAGTTCTAATTGGCCACAAATTAAGCCACAGGAGAATTTGAGTACATCCTAAGAAAAAGAAAAATAAACCTATCCTTTGAAGAAACATAACTTGTGCAACTGTCCAGAGCAATCATTTATGAGAGCAACAGAAATGTAGCCTGAAAGTAGAGAATGTTTTCCCTCCTTCTTCTATTCTGGCATTGACTCACCAGTCATTTTCTTCTCAGTGCCTCCTTGAAATGCACTTTCTAGAACAATGTACCTTTGGCAAGAGAGAGCAAATCAACTGAAATAGGTCCTGATATACACCAGTGACTTCTTCCTAAATGCCTCATGAAATTCTACACTAATTAACTCAATAAGCCTTCCATGAAAAGAAAAAACAAAATTATTCTATATTTCAGTTATCAATTGCTGCATAACAGATCGCCCCAAAAAAGTGGCTTAAAACAACAGTTTATTCTCTCTCACGGTTCTGTGGCTCACTGGACTCAGCTGTTGGTTTCTACTTGGGGTCTGTCAAGTGGTTGCAGTCAGAGAGCAGCTAGTTTGTATTGGATGTCCCAGATGTTGGTTTTTTTTTTTAATTTAAATGTTTGTTTGTTTGTTTGTTTGTTTGTTTGTTTTGAGAGAGAGAGACAGCGCAAGGGGGGAGGGGCAGAGAGAGAGGGAGACACAGACTCTGAGCTGTCAGCACAGAGCCAATGCAGGGCTTGAGCTCACAAATCATGAGATTATGACCTGAGTTGAAGTCGGATGCTTAACTGAGCCACCCAGGCATCCTTGCCCCAGATG